AAGACATATTCTCCCCGTGGGCAGTTGAACTATGGTCGATGACTACATGCTTTTGTTGTTAATGTTGCACCAAATGGCATTAGGTCTCTTCCGATTTATGGCTTCTATTTTACATGATATGATCACTGGTAGTAGAATAGTAGCGGGTACAACAGAAGCACGAAATGACTCTATTAAACCGTGGCCATATACTTTATAATTATTATTATGTAATGTTTCACTTTTATTGGAGTATTTGCATTATCTTATGATGATTCTTTGGGTATATATTTATGCTTAGTTTTAGAATTAGAAAATTGGATGGATATGTTTTATGATCATATTTGTGTTGCTGAATGTTTGTTAGATTATTACAGGGTTATGTTTTTTACCGTGTTTGTGTCTGTAGAGGTGGTAGGAAGAGGCCTGTTCTAAAATGTATTATTTATGGTAAGCCAAAAACTCAGGGATTTACCCAATTGAAGTTTCAGAGAAGCAAGAGGTCATTTGCTGAGGAACGTGTTGGACATAAGCTTGGAGGCCTCAGGGTTCTCAATTCCTACTGGATCAATGAGGTTTGTTTTTATTTTGCTGATTATCTTGGTAATGAAATTTTCGTTGGTTGATCTAACCCTTTCTTTTTGTTTTGAAAATAGGATTCAACCTTCAAATATTTTGAGGTCATTTTGGTTGATGTTGCTCACAATGTTATTCTTCTTTTGCAAGTTTATGTACATATAGAAATTTATGTACATATAGAAATTGAAGGGAAAAAAAATCAATCTTTTGTTTATTTTCTCAATGTTTTAGCAATTGGGTATATGCTATATTTTAATTTAGTAGGGTCAATTGTGAATTGAATGTAATGTGTATTTATTTGATGATAATGTTTTAGAGTGTTCTTGGCATTATACTTGAAGGTGGTGATGGGACGCGTCTTTATCCATTGACAAAGAACCGGGCAAAACTTATTAGTGTGTTCGTTATGTCAGGATTTATAAGAAGCTGACCAAGTGGCGTTCTTCATTTTTTGCAGATGCTTCCATCTAAATATATTAACTTTGTTGGTTACTCATACAAGAACTTAGAAATTGTGGGTGAAAGTGTAATACCTGGAATTGGTATGTTCATATCTCTCTCCTATTGTTATTTTCAATATATTCATCGTTGCAATGTTCTTACGTATTTCAGGTATGTTTACTTTATCAGCTGAGATAAAGTAATAGTTTGCTTTTAATATTAGTGACACTTGATATCAAGTGTTGAATAATTTATAAATTAAAATAGCGGAGTTTTCATCAAGTAGGGTGTCCCAATTTTTTGGTTTGGTGTAGTGTTAGTCGGTTGCCGCCGGAATGTGTCCGTCTGAGATGTGTTTTCAGAGCTATATGCATATCGTCTATTTTGTGTTGCAATTGTTCTATTAAACCTTTTTTATCTCACATTTGATGTAGGAGGAGTATCATAGTCCAGTTAAAATGTAGATACTGCAGTGGTGTTAATCAAACAGTCATAAATATGCGGCGGTGTTTAAAAGTGGTGCTTACAATTTGCAGTTGTGCCCCAAGTGTTTCAATTGTTGTTTGAGGTGATTGGTTCAACACAATGTTTAATGTGCTTCACGAAATCTGGTGTTGCAGCATTGGTGTGGTGTGTTGTAAAACAGTCGGGTTTCACAATATCATAAGTGTTTAATGTGTTCCCCTTCTTTATGTAGTGGTAGCACTACTTGTGTTTACATGATTCTGTTATGGTTTTGTTTCCTGATGTACTGGTAGTAGCACTACTTGTGCTTTTTATAATAATCAAATTTGGCTTATTCAAAAAAAAGGGAAGCAATAGATATAATATCAGGCAGTGTTGGTTAAGTGGTGAAAATGCTGAATATTAGACTGTTGGTTAATCAAATTTGGCTTATTTTATGAACTCACCTGTTTACTTTCAATGTTGAATATGTTTTTGCAGTCTGCACCAGTGAACATTATTGTTGGTTCTCATGTCTAGGTTGAAGATCCAACACTAACATGGATTGGTGGTGAAGTTACTAAAATCAATGGTGAAAATGTCCATGTGTGAGAACACTGTTGTTTTACATTGTTTGTTTTACATTATTATCTTTTTATATTCTATTTGTTTATTACAGTCAAATATACTATTTTGTCAAATTGTGTTTTATTTTTAATCTAATCAATTATGACTCCATCTATTATCTATCTAATATTAAACAATTGAATGGTTTTCCTAAATTGCCCTTTAAGCAAAAAAAATTCACTTCAAAAAGGGTTATTTAGTAACTAACAAAAGACTCAATTTATTTACTTCCTCTTCCTCTTTAGTGTCCACGTGTCACCAAATGTTTTTCCTAATGGATACTAGATTTTCCCCCTAAAATCCATATGCATCGAATGCCACACCTCTTACGATATCATTTTGAAGCTCTCTTCCCTCTTTTTCACACACTCTCTCTCTCTCTCTCTCTCTCTCTCTCTCTCTCTCACACACACACACACACACACACACACACACACACACACACACACACACACACACATACATACACGCATTCCTTTAATCTTTCCATACTTCTCTCTTCAATTTTTCTATCTTCTTCTCTCTCTTTCCCGTCAAACCCTAGCACCGTCGTCGCCGTCCATTTTTTCATATCTATTTTAGTTGATGAAATTTACATTGGTGTTGTGTGTTTTATATAGATCTGTTTTCTGAGAACTAACACAATGTATTTTGTTGTTAAAATTTTTAGATTAGTGTCTTTGTTATCTCATTTAATATGTTAATGTTCTCTTTTCTCTCTATTTTCTCCGCAAAACCTAGCGCAGCTGGGGCTTTCACCACCTTCTTCAAGTTCCGTCTTCAAATATCAGGTATTTATCTCAAACTCCTTCTTCTTTAACCTCTATTTCTTTCACTACTCTAACTCCTTTCATTTTTGCATGTTTACAACAACTCAAGTTGATCTTATTCCCTCTCTCTTACTCTGCAACTCAATAATCCAGGTTTATATCTCTCTTCCATTAAAGACCCAACTCATCAATCTTACTTATGCTTTTGCTTTTGATTCGCTTTGTCTGATAAGGAAGAGAAAACAAATAGTCGATGTCTTTTGTTTTGATTTCCCTTCTCTCTGCTTCACAAATTGGTTTCACCTCTTAGCTATGTGTTTTGTATTCCAAAGTTTTAGGTAAGGAGTTCACAACAATGCTCGAAAGTTTTTTATTCCAGACTGCATAGATCTGACGGTTAGGGTTTCATTTGTCCATGGTGAGTTATTTATGATTTTATTGTTTGTTTTCTTCCCAAATCTGTTTGGGTAAGTATCTGAAAAAGTTGAAAGATCTACTACTGACATTTGGATAAACTTGCTTTAAAAATACGAAGCCAATTAGTATTAATAATGTATTGCAGGGAGGTAGTAAACAAGTTAGATTTCAGCATGTTCATGGGAAGTTTATAGCTACTGCTACTGGAAATACTCCCAAACTAATTGATGTTCAGTTAGTTGTGTTGTCATTTTAAGTATGCTAATACTGCAAGTTTATGACTTGCTTAGTATATTTCATGTTGTCATTTGTAACACATTACTATTTCATGTTATATTTTTATGATATTTTGTATGTTGTTCATCCTCTTTTATGCCATCAACATGAAATTACATTACCACTGACTATGTATTACTATCCCATTTACAGTTGGATATTATTAGTCTATTGAATGAAGTCCATCATAGGAAGTATTTCATGATTTGGTCTACATAGACAACTTCACCTTCTGAAGGAGGAAGGCTTATTGCTTTTGAGTTTGAACTTGAAGTCATGATATTTAGATATTAATATATGTCTAAAAACAATTCTAGGATTTCTTCACAGTGCCTGGTGGAAAGCGAAAATGCAATTATATACCTCCACCATATGATGTTGGAGGGTATATACCTTAGCAAGATGAAGTTGGTGATGCTGGATCTGGCGAATTTGAAATTGAGGTGTGGTATTTATCCCACTATTTGTCACCATCAATCTTTTATAATAATTTATATTTATATATGCTAGGCACTTGCATTTCACTTGTAAGTTGTAGGTAGCTCTATAATATTGTTAACAGTTAAATAAGTTTATTGTTTATACCATCATGTTTATTTTCTTCCTTGAGTGTTGGTTTATAAAGCTAGGGATTTCATATAACTCTGTTAGATTTAGCATTTCCCCAATCCTCTTATGGGGCAGGGATGAGACAAAATGGGATGTGTCGGATGATGGAGGCAGGTTTTGTCATTTCTACAAAGTGTATGATGCTTATTAGAGTTTGACATTGTTTTTGAGATGGGAATTGTTGTAGGGTTAATACAAGGTAGAGGCACAAGAGTTGATAGAGTATATAAGCATGTCTTGCCATCTCTACCTAACTTGAATCTTGCAATTTTATAAAATTAATGCAGTTGATACACAAATTGTTTCATATGTGAGGTTGTACAATGACAGTTTTCCAAATGAGTCATTAATAATATATTCAACTGTTTCAAAACTTTTAAGGCTCACTTACACCATAATAAATAATGATTACCTTTTCTAAAACCAAATAAGTTCTTGGATTTCAATCTTCTTTCCAAGCACGCTCATGTGCATTATTCTACTGGCATTTTATAGTTCAAGAGTGAGCTAGGAAAGAAAGAAGCTAGCGACATTATGCTGGTCAACTAACTGTTGTAAATCACTTTGTTGGATTTTTGTAGTACATGCATTGTTTTGTTTTGTCTGTTTGTTACTTAATTCATTGACTTGCTCAATTGGTGGAAACATTTTTTCATTTACAAAACTGATGAACTTAATGTTTAGGTTTGTGGAGGGAGCATTTCCTTCAATTCACAACACACTAATTCAAAAGAAAAAAATGCATGCAGACTTGGAGAGACTGGCTTCTAGGATTCCTCAACTTTATGTAAAAATTCCTTATGAGGATGATGTGTTTTCAACTCCAAATGTGAGTAATATTTTCATCTGTTGCTGCCTATGCTTGTGAGAGCTTTTGTAAATTGTAATGAAATTTCATCCTTCGAGAATCTTCAACCAGATGATGGAAAAAAGAGAGGGATATGTGGTTTAAGCAAATATAATCAGTACGATGCTTTGTGTGTTGTAAGGTGTTTGGTTGCGAAGAGGTTTTTGATAGCTGGTGGTGGTGCGCCGGAGATAGAGTTGTCTAAGCAATTGGGTGCTTGGGCGAAGGTGTTGCATGGAATTGGGGGTTATTGCATTCGGGAATTTGCTGAGGCGCTTGAAGTTATTCCTTATACTTTGGCTAAGAATGCTGGTTTGAATCTGATTGTGATTGTTACTGAGCTGAGGAATCGTCATGCACAGGGTGAGATAAATGCTGGAATCAATGTTAGGAAAGGTCAAATTACGAATATCCTTGAAGAGAATGTGGTGCAGCCACTGCTTGTAAGCACAAGTTCTATAACCTTGGCAACAAAGTGTGTGCGGATGATTTTGAAGATTGATGATATTGTGACCATGAGGTAGAGTTTGATGGAAAGATTGATGATATTATGACCGTGAGGTAGAGTTTGATGGAAAGTGATGGGAATTCGAAGAAACCTGAATTGTAATATGTCTTTCATACGTGCTTATTTTAAGTTAGTAATTTATGTTATTTGTAGTGAATTTGGTTAATCGATTTTGACTCTGGCTGCTGTGTTTATTTCTAAATTTGGGCGCACTTGTGGATTGTGACACTAACTGCAGTTATCAGAAGGACTTTGTATTGTAAGTTTTCAACAGTTGATTATTTGGTTGTGTTTACGTATGAACTTTGTATTCTGGAGTTGACACTAGTAGAAAAAATACTTTATAGTAGAGGTTGTTAAGTCAGTTCACCTGCCACCTGACTTAAGAATTGATGCGGTGGCAATTTCGTAAATATTTGTAACATTGTTAGGTCAATTATATTTAGAACTGACTTTAAAAAAATTAAAGAAAAAAATATAATTCCTATTAAATTTCTTAAGTCGCTTGTGTTCACTAACTGACTTAAAAAACATATTTATTAAGTCAGGTATTGCCCACTTGACCTAAGACGTTTTATTCAAACCCTTCTTCTTCACAACAAACCCTTCATTCAACAAATGAACTCCTTTTGTTAAACTCTTCTCACGAACCCAGAAACCCCTTCATCAAACTCGAATCCTTCACATAAAATCCAGAAATCATACACTTCACTGCCGAGAAATCAAACCCCTCATTGTAAATCTGACACCCTAAACAAAAACCAAAATCAGAGTAGCCATGTTGCTTCGTTGTTTGCCGTGGACGGCGGTTTGCGCTGCTGCACCAATTCCACTGCATTCTTCCATTAAAGTTTTCACTTCCATTCCAAAGCAACTCGCCTTCTCCCCTTTATCCTTCTGCTCCACCTCCGACCTCCATCTCACTCACCATCCAGACAAACATGTAATTTCATTTTCACGCCATTTCTAGGGTTAACTCATTCAATTGTTTTTTTGTTCGCATCATTCACTGAGTTTGAATCTTCATTTGCAGGAACACGAACCGGATAATCTTCGCTCGCAGCATCTGAAACCCGACCTTTATCTCGTCGGAACACCGATCGAAAATCTTGAAGACATCACATTCAGGGCTCTTCGAGTGTTAAACTCAGCCGATGTTATACTATCGGAAGACATAAGGCACTTTGGGAAATCACTTCATCACTATAACATCAAAACACCCCTGGTAACTCTTCCTTTTCCTTCTACTCTATTTGCAAACCTAGGTCAATATACGTCACTGTTTGGCATAATTGCAATTTACATTTTCTAATACTCGTTTCTAGATCTTCAGATGAGTTATCACAAATTCAATGAATCACAAAGGGAACAGCTTGTGCTCAAGAGGTTGAAACAAGGTGAGATTGTGGCACTTATAAGTGACGCTGGAACGCCGGGTATAAGTGATCCTGGCATGGAGTTGGTAAGTGTGCTGCTATTACTGTGCTTGTTTATTCTTATCATAACTTCTATTCTATTTTGTTTCATAACTTTATTCATGGTGATAACAATGCAGGCCAAATTATGTGTTAGTGAAAATGTTCCGGTTGTTCCAATCCCAGGTCCTTGTGCTTTGGTATCTGCTCTTTCTGCCTCGGGTTTATCCACAGATAAATTTGCATTTGGTAATTAACTGATTGAATTGTATGGTTTGGGTAGATAATGACTATAAACCAAGAACTAAAACGTATAAGCACTTATCTTTGTAGGTGTGTCTTGGAAGTGTTGGGGTTGTTGTAGACAATGAAGGCAAGTCATTATTATCCTTCCTCTCTGTGTTTAAGAAGAATTTTGGAACATGTGTGTTGAACATTAGAAAACTAGCATCTTCTAGGACATGTCTATCTTTCCTCTCTGCCACCCCGTTTTGTCGTGGGGTGACAACACTAGAGCTTTGATGGATGATCACATGGCTGTCCAAAGACTCTTCAAGAGATGTTTCAAAATATTCTCTTGCATTATCAGTTTTTAGAACTTGGATTTTGGTTTGAAACTTTGAATCATGGTATTGAATTTTCAAAAAATATGGCCTAGTTCATACTTTTCTTTGAGAAGGAACAAATGTGTTATTCTAGCATTATTATCCACAAATAGCATAAATCATCTAGATACAAATGATATTTTTTTATTCTAGATGCCCCCCCTCCACATCACCATTAATTGAATAGGGAAGAGATGCTTTATAAGACTACATATAGTAAGAATGGCGAAGATGTTTAGAGAATTGACAAGTTTCACACTAAAAAGCTGGACTTTTGTTTGTGAACAAAAAAGGAAACAAGTTTTGAAGATATATAAACTCAGGTGACCTAGAGAACAATGCCATAACATAATAGCACTATCCTTATCTGACTAGTAGGGTGACTACACTCAAGCTGCATTGTGAGTTTGTCTAGTAAGAGGGTGGTCTGTATGTTGAAGAAAGAGCCTATGCAAATCCTAGCACAGTCAATCATCCATCCTGAACCCAAAGTCTGAAATTCACACAAGTTGGAGACAAATTTGGCAACACAGTTACGATAACTAGAGCGTACTCATAGATGATAAACTGCAATCCAAATTGGGGACGTGTACTGCAGATCTTAACTCTATCTTCTTAGAGAGTGCCTAAACATTGACCAATGGGAAGAGACTAGTCTTGTAGAGGATGCTCAAATATTGATTTTACCTAGAACCAGACTTACAGTACATGTGGTTACTACTTAATACATTTCATAATGATTGTTACTGTTTTCATCTCTTTTCTATTAGAAATCGTTGATAGGATATTCTATTTACCTAATAGGTTTCCTACTTGATTTAATTAGCCTATTTTGTTTCGAATTTCTTTTTGAGTTCTTGAGACTTTTGTTGCATATTGGTAGGCCTGCAGGTATCATTTTGAAATTGGATGGCGAGCTATGATAGAGACAATTGTCGAGCACTATGGTCTCATTTATGCATCCAGTATAGTTTTATGTAGATAGATACAATGTTTTACACAATTACAGCGTGCTTATGTTATAAACATTTTGATCCTGAAAGTTTTGATGACATTGATACTTATTGTATTGTACTTTGTTTTGTCTTACTTCAGTCTAGACTCTGAATTTCTAGCTTCAACTTCTACTGATGGTTCAGCAAGAATTTGGAAGGTTGAAGATGGTGTTCCTGTGACTACTTTGTCTCGCAACTCGGTACAGTGTGATTGATTTCAGAACCTTCTCTGGAGTTTTTTTTTACAAGAATCTGTGCAGTTACTTGTACTCCCTTGATCTAGAATTTTAATTTTTGTCTCTTTAGGATGAAAAAAATTGAGTTATGCCGATTTTCCAAGGATGGAACCAAACCATTTCTATTTTGTGCCGATCAAAAAGGTATACGAGTATCTTGTTTTGAGTATATTCTAGAGTATTAATTTTTTATTTGTATATCTATCGGATCTCTTTGGATCAACTATGGCCTTAATAATCATTGCCTCTAATTTTATGCAGGGGATAAGTCTTTAACTTTAGTTTGGGACATGAGTTCGTGGAACAAAATTGGACATAAGAGGCTGCTTAGAAAGTCGGCTTCAGTAATGTCCGTTAGCCACGATGGGAAATACCTTTCTCTGTAAGAACCTATATTTGCCTTGTAGTAATACACGCCAATCTCTTTCTTATTTGATTGATAACACATTGTCTATATTATAGGGTATTGATAACACAATTGTGAGGTGAGATTTTGATTTTGGTCATATTGCCAAAACTAAAGTGTGAAGAAAAGAATGTTTGCACTGATAATGATTTTCCATCTTTTTAAACGCTCTCTATTTTTAAACCTATAGCACTATATTAAAGTTAACTTGCAGTGATTCCTTCTTTGAGTTTATTCTCCTGTAAGCCCCTTCAACCTTTGCACCTATAAGTCATCTTTTCTTAAACAGCATAGCTAATTGTGTTCTACTTATTATGTTCATTTCTAATATATGCCATATCCAATTAGATGTGTTGTTTTGTCCCATGCTTTGTTTGTCCTGTCTCAGAACTGAGGTTTCTCTTTGGGACCATTCAACTTAATACGAATTTGATTGCTAGTTTAAAAATACCAAAGAAAGAAACTTAAAATTGTAAATATGTTGTGGTCAAATATTTATAGCACGCATCAAATAAAATTTGTTCATTTTTTTAAATAAAAAAGTAAACTTGTGATGTGATGAGCACCTTGCTTGTATAATTTTGAGCACCTCGAATTTCTATAATTCTAGGGCAAGTAAAGATGGAGACATATGTGTTGTTGAAGTAAAAAAGATGCAAATACACCATTATAGCAAGAGACTACACCTCGGTACAGCTATTGCAACGTTGGAGTTCTGTCCTAGTGAAAGGTAATTGTCCATGCTCTATTGGTTTAATTTGCCACATTTTTATGTATATCAATCATCATATGCCAAAAAGTTCGTTTTTATTAGCCTAATAAATCAATTATCTTGGTCTTGGCTTATTCACCCGAGCTTTTATTATTTTATGTAGGGTTGTACTTACAACCTCAGTAGAATAGGGAGCATTGGTCACCAAACTTAATGTACCTAAAGATTGGAAAGGTTATCTCTCTCTCCCCTCCCCCCTCTCTCTCAAGCGCACACATGTCCTTTATGGGACCATAGAGTATATCAGAAATAATATTTTAACACAAATTTGACAATAGTTTTGTGATGTTGCTGAAACAACATTGGATGATAGTGTTAAAAAGTTTACATTCACAGTGCATTAAAAGCAAAGTATTATACTTATTTATTGTTTCCAATTCCAAGATGATTTATGAAGTATTTGTAACTGTAGCATTATTTTTTTCCCATGTATGCAGGTTAGGTCTGTTCGTGTCAGGCTGAAAAGTTTAGGTCTTCATGTGTCGCCTTGTGTCCTTGACTTTTTGAGTAAGACAATATTTCGGTGATGTTGCTGAAACCACACTGAGGGATATTGATTGTGATAAGGATTATGGTTAAAGTTACAC